TCTGGCCTCCGGTTTCCAATACAGCCTTTTCCTCTCCTAAAGTATCCCTCATTTCGTAAGAAGAAAACACAGGAAGAGTGGCTAATTTTGTGGCCCCTGATAAGACACGCCTTCCCGCCTACTAAAAAGGAATTTGATTCTGCTTACTCTGTCACTTGACCGCTGCTTACATGTATTATACATAACTGAGTCAAATTTTTGGTTGCCAGAGAGTCTTATTTGGACTACGTAAGTGAGAGAGAAACACAGGATATAAGCAAAAAATTTAATTTTATTGTAAACAGGATGAATGGGTATTTTTAAAAGTTGAAAACTTGTAATAGGGAGTTGACTGAAAACACTGGATTCCAAGTCCCCAAATGTGGAGAATCCAAACCTACATAGGCAAAATTTAAAAGAAACGATTTTGAAAAACTTCCATCCATTTCAACTAACTTGCATAATTTATAATATCTTTGAAATATGAATTGTTAGTTCATATATGATATTTATAAATGGGTGAGATACACAGTAAAAGTAATATTTTAAAAACCTTGACTATTAAGTTACTATGAACCAAAAAGCAAAGGATAAATTTGTATTATATGCCTGATAATTAAAAAACTGTAATTCTGTATTTCGTCTAAAGCACTCATGTTTACCAAAGGATTATCAGCATTGTTGCTATTATGATTTGGGGGGCGATCTGCATCAGAATTCCAGGTGTGTATATTAAAAATGCACATTCTGAGCACAGGCACTGAAACCGACAATGGGCAACCCGTACCCCCACGTGACGCACACTGGTTTAAGAGCAGCTGAGGGTTAACGTTAATTTGGGAACGCCTGGCTCAGCTTCCCCACCTCTCAGGGTTCCCGTACGATGTCTGTAAAACAGAGCACCAGTCTTCTTCCCTGGACGTTCTGACTCAAGAGGGCTGAACTAGGGCCTAGGAAGCAATATTTTTAACAAGCACAGCAGGTGTTTATCTTCAAATTCAAGAGACACAAGTTAGATCATTATATTTAGGCAAATATTGTACTGGCGTACCTAAGATCCTGCAATTGCAAAAGAAGCTTAAAACTACCAACAGGTAAAAAAAAAAAAAAGTGGTCATTTTCACACTGATATGGAAGCGAAGTTTTAGAAACACAAACCTGCACTTATCTTCTCGAGCTGCGCCCCACTTTCAATGAAATGTTTCCCACCAGTTGCAGGATAAAGACAAACTCCTCAGTAGGGCCTACAGTGCCCGGAGGCACGGTTTGCCCCCTTCCTACGGCTTCCATGTGCATCCGCTACCATCTTTCTGGTCCTGATTTAAAGGTGGCCCTTCTCTAGTCCAAGGCTAATCTCTCTGCCCTCTGCTCCTGAACACGTTTCCTTGAGTGTGAAACGAGGATGACGACACCTACCTCACAGACGACTCAGGATCAGTGAGGCCGGGCAGGGCGGGCTGTCCGCAGAGGCCGGCGCAGGGAATGAGAGCTATCATTCAAACAGAGCAGCTGCGTCTGCTTCCTCACATCCAAGCCAACTCTTCAACTCACTCGCCATCTGGTTTCTCCACCCACCATTCCACAGAAACTGTTTTCATCAGGCTCACCGATTGCCAAGGGCAAAGGACACACACATTCCAGCCTTCGGGTGACCAACCTCTCTGCTGGCACTGGCCCTCGCTGGCCATGCCCTCCTCCGGACTTCTCCTTTGGCATCCCTGAGCACTGTGCGCCCTGCTTTCCTCATACTTCCCTGTCTAGTCTTTTAAAGCATTTTTTTGTGTGGTTTATTGCTTACCTTAAAAAAAATGTTTTCACTTTACCAAAATCACACGCGCTCACTTATCCGCCTATGCGAGCTCCCCAGCCGGGGCTCCGATGGACCTGTGTAGTGTTCAGCTAAGGAGGGGGCTATTCTATTCACTGCTGCATTCAGAGCACCTACAGTAAGGCCTGGAACCCACTGAGCTCAATCAATATTTATTGACTAATTGACCGAACTGTCCCCCACACTTAATCGGCCACTCCTGAATTCTCTCAGATCTCGGCCTACTGTTCTTGCCCCACGGCTGACTCGTGCGTTCTGTGACCTGCCACACCACCTCCAGCTCTGTCCTCCTATAATCCATCTTCCAAACTGCTGCTAAAGTCACCCAAACAAAGCCTTCGACAACCTTTAGGATTAGGTCCAAATTCTTTAGCTAAGCCTGCTAAGCTCTCCAGGATCTGGACCCTGGCTAATCCTAGTGTCAACTCCCGCCAGCCCCTTCCCTGTGCGCCACGCTCTGTCTCTGACTCCTCAGTCAGCCGCTCTTTCCTCCACCCGGGGTTGAGGCCCGGCCGCGACCCCCATGCCTGCTGTGCCTGGCTGAGTCCTACTAGCCGTCTCTGAGGAGGTCTCCCTTCGTTCCAGACTTGGGGGTACCTGCCCTCCTCTGTACCTTTTTACGGGACACCACCCTTATCGTTTCACTTATTACACTCCTGTGTGGACTTGTCCATCTCCAATGCTGTAGTCACAGTACCCAGCACTGTGCTTGGGACAGAGTGATCAACGGTTTTGGAAAGGATAGCCACCACTCTGTCTATTCTAGCCAGCTCTTCGCCCCAAACTGCTTTGCCTGTTTTGCTTCTACACTCTGACAGCTGTTGCTTAAGTACCTGAGGAGGGAAAAAAAATCACGTGACTAAGTGAAATGAATGGCCTGTGACTTCACCTGGGCATTCATCGCCCAGCAAGTCTTTTACGGATCCCTAGTCGGCTCCAGCTCCCATTTCCCTCAGTGACCATCAAAAGAAGGGAGGGAGGGAGGAAGACTTAAAACATTAATATAGGGCTTTACGGTGAAAAGCACGGGCCCGCCTCCCACTCTACCTCACAGGCCTTAACAGTCTCAGATGCACCCTGCCAAACCTTTCCTGTGAATTTACAAACGCAGATTTGTACCCTCTACGTCCTCCAAACAAATGAAAGCAAACGCTGCCTATTATTCTGATGTATGTTTTCAAGAATGTCTTTGAGGAGACAATGCTAAGTGAAGTGAGTCAGAAAGAAAAATGCTGTTATTTCACGCATTCATATGAGCAATCTAAAAACGTGAACAAACGAAACACAACAAACGCACACTCAAAGACACAGAGATCTGCGCTTCCAGAGGGGAAGGGGGTTGGGTGTGGGCGAAAGAGGTGAAAGAGGCAAAGGGGGTCGACTGCACGGAGATGGGGAGTAACTAGACTTTTGGGGGTGATCACATTGCAGTGTATACGGATGCTGAACGATAATGTTGGACGCCTGAAACTTAGTTAATAAAAAAGCAAGAGCTTTCCACATTAGCACACACAGATTTTCCTCACTGTTAACACTTGCGTATTTTTTTCACTGAATGGATGTGCCATAATGCAACATCTCTGCTACTGGGGGACACCGAGCGGGTTTCCAGTTTCCCCTCATCTCCCTCAGCAGTTCGAACGTTTTATCCGCGCTCCCATCCCATTTTCACTTTTCGCCCCGGGATAATCTCATCTACTCCCCAGAGGACACCGAGGCTGTGAAGTGTGAACTTCAGCTCCCTATCTCCCTGATCTACACGCTGACCTGATCTGCCACTACCTTCCACCCTTCTCTCTCTGGGGAAAGGTCCCTTTTCCAATCTTTCCTCTCCTGCCTCCTCCCCTAAGCCTAAGTAAACATGCTTATTTATCTTCCATCTTAAGACAAGCCCTTCTATTCTTGGTAGCCTAGCTTCTTGAAAGAGTCATCTACAGACGTCCATTATCGCTTCCTTATCTTCCAGCTGTTCCAGCTGCTGGCAGACTTCCAATCTCACTCCTCTAAAACCGCTTTTGCTAGCTAAGGTCACCAGGGTCCTCCTAGATGCCAAACCCAAAGGCTCTCTCTCAGGCTTCATTTCACTTCGCCTCTCCGTGCTGTTATCTTGTTCTTTTTTTTTTTTCTTAAAATTCCTTCCTCGGTTTGAAATTTTCACTCTTTGGGTCTCCCTTCTGTCTCCGACCACCCCTAACTACTGGTCGTCACCAGGATTGTCTTCCACAGTCTGCCGACTCTCCTGCACATGCCTCCTGGGTGACCCACCTACGCCCAAGGCCGCACAAAGCCTAAGCTCTGTCCTTATCGCACTCCGCACCCGCAGGCATCCCGCAGGCATCCCGCAGGCATCCCACCGAACTTGGCGCTCGCTGTCCTGCCTTCCACCCTCCAGCTCTGCAGTGAATGGCCGTCACCCTTTCCCTGGCCACCTCAGTCAGATGCTTAGCTTCCACCCAGATGCACCTCTCCTTCCGTCCCCGCTGCCAATGCCTCGGCCAGTTTAAGGCCCCATCGCCCCTCGGCTGGCGTCGCCCCGCCCCGGCCCGTCCATGTTCGCGTGCTGCCTGCGCAATCTCTCCCGAGCGAGCCTGGGCCTCGTCATCACTGCACCACACACGTTCCCTCTCCTCTACTCGCCCCGCTCTCCCTGTTCCAGGAGCAGGCCCTGAGCACCGTTCCCCCTGCCTAGAATGTTCTTCCCCTCCACTGGCCCTCCCTCCCCTCCACCCTGGCTGTCTAGCTCGAGGGCCTCCCCCTGAAGCCCTCCCGCTCTCACTGCAGAGGCAGAACCTTGTGACTGTGTATTACAGTAACCGCTTTTTAGCAGATGGCTTTACCTACATGTCTCTCTCTCATTCTAGACCTTAAGTTCCCTGCAATCAGAAAGTCCACGTGACTTCTGTATCAGGGCCTGGCAGACTGCTTGATAAGAAGAGGTGGCCTGATCACCGCCGAATGGCTGCGCAGGCGCCACGTCCCCGCCCACGCGCCCAAACCCAAACTCTCAACGCCGCCTCCGTTCGGCCCCCTCCACCTCCGAATGCCAACCGGACACGTGCTACTGCTTCGACCCCTGCAGTCCTCTCGAAACCCTCCTCCCGCGTTAAGGCCACGGCTCTAGTTTGGGCTCCGCCACGCCTCACTTGAACTAGATTTGCTCCTCTCCAAACCATTCTCCACACTACTCCTTGAGTCTTTATAAATATTTTTATTACAAAAATAGTACATACCTGTAAAAAAATTCAAACGGTACAGAAATAAAAGCATAACACCCCACCCAGTGCACACACAACAAATCAGCCCCCTCCCCTGGGGGTTACCATTGTGGACAGCTGAGCGTATGTCCTTTGGAACCCGTTCCTTTGCATAAAAGTACACATCAATGCATATAAATACACATACATGGTTTGTCTTTTACAAGAAATGGGAACACACTTGTCACCTATGATTCTTCCATTCCTTTCATCATGTGACACATAGGACATTTCTAAAACACAACTCTGATTCTATCACTCCGTTAGGGCTCATTTCCTATAATATAAAGTTCGTACTCATTAGCATCAAATTCAAAGCTCCTGATGATGTGTTTCCTGCCCATCCTGCAGTCTCATCTCCAGCCATTCCAGCGTTAAAAGCCTGGTACTGAACCACCTTAAATCCTTCCTGGAACAAGGCAGGTACAAACAAACAAACAAACAAACTAGGAACGCACTCTGCCGTCCTAGCCTTCAGCCTCTCCACTCCCTGCTGCACTGCCGGGCCTTTCCCGTCTGGCGAGCTCCTCGTAATCCAACAGTCAGCTTAAAAATTACCTCTAAAAAGACTTCCCTGACTTTTTCAGACATGATTGCGCCTCTACTTCCCCCTAGGCTTTATATCTAGCTCTGTAATTGCACTTATCTCACAGTACTTTAACGCGTGATCAACATGTTTCGAATTCCACTCCCCCTCTCCCAATTTGATGGTGCTCTTTGGGTGAAAGGACTGTGTCTTGTTTCCCTTTGCATCCCTGAGGATCCGACGGCGTGCTTACCACGAAGCAGGGGCTCAGTAACAAATCTACTGAGAACTTCGTGATTCTAGGGACATGGATCGAGTACCTACTATGCACAGAACCATAGCCTCGGCATGAAAAGGAACAGAAGACACAGCCTTTGCCCCGAGGAACTTACCATTTTCCTATCATTCCCCAGGGGGGTGGACGGATGGAACACACTTACATGGCAACAGATCGCTTCTGACATATAGGCTGTTTCAAAGATTTCTATAGTCACTTGCCTCAAATCCTTTTAGGAACAAGGCCTTACGTAATCAAATAAATTATTAAAAACTGGGCAGTTTGTCCAATAGGTTTCCGTTTTTAGTGTGGCACAGAGTCCACCAGAGAGAACCCAATTCTCTGTCCCAGCAGGGGGCTGTCACCTGTTACAGCCTGTGAATTAGAAAACTAAGATGATATCATGCTTGGAAAATTTCTAATACACCAAGAGGACATCAAGTTATTAGTCCTTTCATAATTTTTCCTCCTTCTCCGGGGAAAAGTGACACCGACAGCGATAAATGGAGTTAAACAAGCACACTGGAGGAGGAGGAGACGGTCTATTTTTGTTAGTAGTTGGGGGAAGCGGGGTTGCTTGGTTTTAATTCAAAGGGTGACAGTGCCCCAGGAAAGTCAGGAGAGGCGATGCGTTATCATTTACTTACTATTTCTTAAAGGCTAAGGTGTTAGTTAATCTGGTGATTTCAGGATCAGACGTTACACAAATATAAACGAACTGGGGGTAGGTGAATCACCTAGGCTGGAGAACAGGGAAGGCTGACCCAGGAGGCCCAAAGGAAGCCTCATCCATCAGAGTCCAAGTCACTGTCTCCAGCACTGGAGTGGAAATCCTCACTGTCCTCCTCGTCCTCTGACAGCTGGACCTGGCTTAGCACGCTCGGCCCAGAGCGCTGCTCTTCCTCCTCCTCCTCTTCTTCCTCCTCTGATACCTCATACCCACCGATGCTGCTGAAGCTTGTGTCTTGGGTGTTCGACTTGGGATCAGGCTCCTCATAGCTCCCATAACTGAGAAGAGAAACATGTCATCTCTCAAGCTCGGGCACCATCCTCTAGCTGACCAGTCCCATTCTTGGTGCTACCAAGGGATCAGCCCGCCTCACCTCCCGTGGACACTAAAATGACTGCTTCCGGACTGTTCTACAGGCCCCTGAGAGAAAAATGATCCTGTTCGAAAACATCGACTGGCCAACTGCAGGCACACAATAACCTGAATAAAGAAACTCCCTCACGCCTGAACAGCACACTGCCAGCTTACGTGACCAAAAACGCCCTGACAGACTCAGTTTCCCCTACCAGTTACAGCTTCAGTCAGCTCCACAGCCAATTAGCCAACAGTCCTACAGCTTCTACCTCTTCGACCCCCTCCGTTCCGCCCCTACTCTGCGCGCCTTAGCTGAGTCCTCTGTCATCTCCGGCCCGCACCACTGCGGGGCGGTCCTCACGCTTCTAGTCCTGCTCTCCAATGACTTCTTCACGCTTCTGCCAGAGTGCTCGTTATTTTTTGTTTGTTTGTTTATTCTTAATTTTACTTCAAAAAAATCACACAAGTAATGCACATTCGTTAGTTCAAAAAATTACCGAATATACAACCAGAAAAAATGAAAAAAAAAAAAATCACCAATAACTCCACTACCCAGAGATAAATCTCTTGGTGGGTGATCTTCCAACTTTTTTCTATGCACTTCACTTAGATGTTTAAACATTTTTTATTTACAAAATTAGAATATTCTACATGGTCTTTAGGAATGTTTTCGCTAATGATTATAATGAACATCTTTATAAACACACATCTGTAGCATGATTTTAACAGCTGCATGGTACTCCACTGAATGGCTGTAACGTGATTGATTTAAGTTTCTCGCTAAGACAGTTCAGCTGTCTCCAATCTTCCCACTGTTAGAAACAGTGCTGTGATAAACACCCTTGCACAAACATCTTGATGAAGGTGTTTTATTATTCCCATAGAATAATTTCCTAGACGTAAAATTTGGGGGCCAAAGGGGATACACATTTCCGAAATTTTTGATTTCTGATTCGGCTCAGTTTCCTTCTCTAACCAGCTCCCCTACCCCATTCCTACACCCACATCCGAGAAAAATTCTGTGGTTGCCTATCACAGCACGTTTCATGTTTCACTACGCCTGATGATCCGGTTACCTCTTTCAGGTATCCCATTAGACGCCACTCCTTGAAGGAAGGGACTGCATCTTAGTTACTTCTGTATTTGTGATAAATACTCGCTGAACGAATACTCTAACTGCTTCCTGAATACCTCTGGCTACGTGTCCGTGTGCCTTAAATCCAACATGTCCAAAGACAATTGTTTCCTTCTTTCCCACCCCACCTAATGTCTATTCTCCCTCTTTCCTATATCAGTGACATTCCCATTCATTATGTACTTGATCTCCTCACCGCCTATATCCAATCGGCTGACCCTCTAAATACTTCTTCCATATGTCCCTTCTTTCCCCTGCCCCCACTCCCCACTTCTAACAGATGCCACATGAGACCCTTATCGTTGTCCTAGAGTTATTTAATATACAAAGTTGATGTTATTTCCTTTTCCTGAGATAGTGATTCCTATGACCCGAAATCCAGATGTCTCAGCATGCCATATAAGGTTCTCTGCAATACCATCGTTGCTACTTCTGGAGCCACAACTCCCAACAACCTCCCTTCGCTCTGGAGCCTTCTTTGTTTCATTTCTGTGCCTCTGAATATATTGTTCCACCTCTAAGGATCTCCTCACCTGCTGCCACTTATCTACTTTGCAGACTCTTATTCATCCTGTAAGGCCCAGTTCGACTGGCCCCTTGTCTGTGGAACTTTCCCTGATTACTCCCAAGCAGAGCGAGACACTTTTCTCAGTGGTGACTTGGCGCTCTGTACTTAACTTATGCTACGGCACTTATCACATCGCATTGGTAATGACTTGGTTTTTCTCAGTCTCTTCCACTAGACTGCGAGCTCCTCAAGGACAGGGTATTTCTTGCTCCTCTGTGTATCCCCAAGGGCCTAGCACAGCGCCTGGCCCTAGCAGGTGCTCAGTAAACGTTTGCTGGATGAGAGAAATCTGACGCTGGGCCCTCTGACATCACGGCTGGGCACCGACGCCACAGCCCTGTAGCATGTCGCTGCCGATTACCTGATGGTGCTCTCCTCCAAACCACGAGAAGCCTCCCCACTGGCTCCCTCATAGGACATCAAGCTCTCTTCGTTTTCCATGCCCATCCTCGTGTTCTCCTGAAGCACACGGGGCTGTTTGGGCCTTATCCCGCCAGATCCCACGTCAGAGTCACTGCCACTTTCACTCAGCTGGATAGCTGTGAAGAGACAGACTGAGGTAAGCTGGACAGAATCAACCCCTTCGGCTTGGTCTTCCAAAACCGGCTGCCCGGACGCCCTGCCGCGGAGGCGTCCCTGCCTGTGACCGACACGAGCCGAGCTCTGCAAACGGAATCCGAGCCCCCACTTCCTCTACCCACCCCCCGCCCAACTGTTTGCTCCCCCCTCATCTCCCCTACCCCACCCCCCCCCCCCCCCCCCCCCACCCCCCCCCCCCCAATGGCAGCCCATTGAGTGAACCACCATGTCCCACTCCCCATCTCCCAACCCACACTGGCAACTCTCTCTCAACAGAGAGATAGTAAGTATAAAAAAGGACATAGAAACCATAAAAAAGAAACAGACAGAAATGAAGAATACAATAACTGAAATGAAGAATACACTAGAAGGATTCAACAG